AGCAGCAGGCAACACAAAATTCTCAAGCTTATCACGGTGTTCAGTAAATAGCTTACCAAGATCTCTAGTGGTGGTCTGTCTAGAAACCTTGACAAACCTAGGGTTATGAGCAAGAACAATGTAATTCTCCCATGCCTGTGACTCACATATACCTAATGGAAGGTCAAGCCTAGCAATCAACCTACACAACTCAGAGCGAGCAACAGCAGGATTATAGTCCCAGTTATACACAGATCCATCAGGATTGAAAGAAAGCCTAGACTGAACCCTAGCAGCATGATCAGCCTTTTCCTACAAGATTTCTGATGCCTAATCAAATGGCCAATGCTAGCAGAAGATCTAGCAGACAATTTACTCTTACACATTTTACAGATAGCAGCAGTTCGAACCTTTTGACCATTCACAGCCTCATAGATCTCATCAAAATCAACCCAAACACTAGATTTACGCTTACCAAGGCATGAGGTACCATCTGTGCTGTTGGAGCCGACCGGTGTCCCTGTCGCCGTCGCCGACGGCACCGGCTTCGCCCCTCCACCACTGTCGCCACCGTCTAGATCTATCAGAGCAGAGCCGCTACTTACATCAATACCCAACAACGCAGCAGCGTCATCACGGATGTCGTTGTCATCCTCTAGGAGCAGCCCTTCCATGATCAGGTCATCGTTGCTGGTGAGTGGATAGACGACATCATCATCATCCGCCATGGCGACCTTGACCGTGGACGGCTGATCTCTAGCACCGTTCCTCAATAGTGCGCACGGCCGCCGTGCCCGATCTATGCCACAGGAAGAGGACGACGAGGCATCGGCAACCGACCTGCACGGAAGAGAAAAACAGAGTCAGAGAGATAGAGGTATAGATCCAGAGTCAGTGGAAGAGACACAAGAAGTGGAGAAGACAGATTTAGGGTTAGGGTTAGGGTTAGTGGAGTACCTACACAACCGGAGCCCGGTGCCGAAGATGACGAGGGCCACCCAGAGGAGAGAGACCGATTAGAAACGACGGCGAACGGCGGAGGAGGGATGGACGGGAACACAGTCACGAACTCACATAGTTCATCGAGAGCGAGAGAGGAGAGAGGAAGAAGGGAGGAGAGTGGAGATAGGGTCAGATAGGCGGATCGAGGTCACCGGAGTTGAGGATGACAGACAAGATTAGTAGATCATGAGAGAGAGCTCAGATTCACCAGATCATGGATGCGGCCGATGCGGGCGAGAGAGAGAGCAGAGATTGCGCCGCAGCGAGCCGGCGAGCGAGTGGGGATTAGGGTTAGGGTTGGGAGCAGACTACGGAGCTGGCCATCGGCGAGGTGACTGGGCGAGCAGGGATCGGCTGCACCACGGTGAGCGAGTGGGGAACTGGGGATTAGGGTTAGGGTTGGGAGCGGAGAGCGGAGCGGAAGAGGAGGCGAGGCGGCTGGACTGAGTGCAGACTACGAAGCGAGGAGGCGAGGCGACTAGGTGACTGGGTGAGCCGCTTATATATGCGGAGGCAGGGCGCGGGGAGGCTAGGAGGTGGCAGGCCGGGCCGCTAGTGGGCTGGTTCGACTGTAGCAGGCCATGCCATATCGGCCCACGTGCCTGGGGCAAGGCCTAGGCATGGCTTGCTCCTCCGGGCCGGGCTAGCCCGGGCCCGCTAGCCTCCGTGCCGGGCCATGCTTGGGCTGGGCCCAAAAAATGGGCCTTGGGCCAGGTCGACGGGCTTGGGTTGCATGGCCAACTATGCCTAGGTACATAGGGAAACAGCTCCAGCACCGTCAGATCCAGCCACCGAGCTTCAACGCCGCTGCCGGGGATGAAGAGGGCAGCCGCCGCCGCACAGCCACCTAGGGTTTCATCGAGCATAGGAGCACAAGCTCCCTAGAGGGAGGATGCATTGAGGAGCCCAAGCGGAGGATGAGGAGAGGAAGGGGGCCGCCGGGCCCCACCCTCGCTGGCGCGTCGCCCGCAGGGGGCGCCATCGCCTCGCCGCCCCCGCCGCCTTCTCAGGAGGGAAGGGGAGAGAGGGAGAGGAAGGGGAGGGAGGGCGGAGGAAGAAGAGGAGGAAGAAGAAGAGGAGGAGGAGGAGGAGGAGGAGGAGGGCGCCTGCCGCCGCCGCCACACCAGTCGCCCCCGGCGCCGTCGCCCGTAGCGTCAGGAGAACGAGGGAGAGAAAGCGAAGAGAGAGAGAGGAGATGGTGAAAGAATATAGAATGAGAAGCTAAAGCTGTTGCATATATTTGATTGTGTGGATTCTGATGAAAAGCGGGAGAAGCAGAGGAGAAACGAGAGAAGCTAACCAGAAGCGGGTGCAGTCGAGAATCCGCTTCGAGTGATCTGGGCCGTGGAATGTGAGATCGGATGGCTAGGAGAATTTGGAGTGACGTGAACGTGGCTTCTATGCGAGGAGCTGACGCAGTTTGTAGTTTTAAATAAATGGAGGGGAGCATGTAAATTAGGCATGAGTGTGAGGCCATGAGAGCTTCATGGTCAACCATTTGGTGGTAAGTGCATGCCCTTCTTCCCTCCCCGCCAATTTTCTGTTTTTTTGCTTTACCTCATAGATGTTGTTGCCTTGGCAACCATGCATGGGTTTCAACCTTTTTAGCTGGTGGAAAAAATTGTGAAGAGAAAAAATGCCAATGCTTAGTGGGAAATAGTATATTATTGTTGGCAACAATGTATGGTTTTACAATTTTTCGGTATAACCATAAACCAAACCATCATTGCTCGTGTGCTACGCTCCTTATCTAGAAAAAAATTACCATCAAACTTCCAAAATAAATTTTTGCATGTGCAACCTATGGTAGTCATCTCAACCTTTGTCATGCTCCTCAGCCATTGCTATCACCTCGTATGCATTCGCCCTATGATTTGAATGACAACCTTTTATTTGGTTGGGGTTGGGGTTCATAAGGGCTACAATAGCTCTATATCATGATAGCAGCTGCTCTAGTCGTAAGAAACCTGGTTTCTCACGACGACAAGACAATTTAAGAATTAATTTAAAACAAAAGGTTACTGTTCAAGCATGGCTCTTTGAACTTACACTAACAAGTTAACTAATTCATTTTTAATGAGCACTCGATGCTTCCGCATGGTGGCTCAATGCTCCGTATTAGAGTTATTCCTTCTCGAGAGTCATGGTGCTTTTAGCTGGTTCCAAGGTAACACACTGAAGTGAAAGCGGTATGGGGCATTACCCATGTGGGCAAACCTATTTCTCTCCGCCTAATGATCTTCCACTATCCTCGGCCTTTAGCACGGGCGAAATTCATTGCCTTTCATTGTGTGTCATAATGCATTGTCCTTTTCCCTGTGATGCCCATTGTTGGTGAGGATGTTGCGAAGTTACGTCCGATCGCGAGGAGCATAATGGTCTAGGGAGTCCTCTCCTCTTTACGTCGCTCGGGTCCCGAAGAAGCTTAAGTGCTCGCAGTCTAGAATTTTTCCCCGAGACAATTTTAGAAAAGACACTTTTAGACTTCGAAATGGGTGTTTTTAATCAACAAACCAAGTCTTGGGGACAAGACACTAGCGCTCATTCATATTGCAACTAACTCAAATGCAATGACCACTACAAAACACACTGTTCATCAATCTCTAAAACCCCAAATTCACCACATTAAGGCCTAGATGTGTTCAATCTCCCATTTTTTAGTGATTAATGACAATCACACAAGTCTCCAAAACGATTGAAGGATTTGAAATTAAAGTCAATCGTGAGCACGGAAATGATGAGTCAGCGATCGAACGTGCTCGGTAGATCAACCACGTGTTTCACTTAAGATTCATAAAGAAGCCCCTAAAATAAGTATGAGGGACAAGAGACATGTAGTAACACTTATAAACGCACAACACTTGTCACACCAAAGCATAGGTTAACTTAAAAACCAAAGTAGCACACACAAGTTCACAAACCAAGATGCAATGCATAAAAAGCCAAGTTCTTTAAGTTACCCATCACTTTTCTGCCCCTAAATCTCACACCCTCTCCTGCTTTGGCATCAAACCAACAAAAAGAGATTCAAACTACTTGTCAGAGGCCGAAGGAGGCGGTGCAGCTGAAGTATCACCTCGTGGAGGGAATATGAACTGAGAGCTATCGATCTCTTCGCTCTCACGAGAACTGATCTCTACCGTTGCTGTGATGGACTCTATCGTGATGCTAGCAGTGCCAATAAAACAGTGTACTGGCCGTGAGTCGCCAGGCTCTCAAAAGTCTTAGTTTTTGGTTGGGCTTCTGGAAGCTACTTTTGCTTCAAAAAGGCACCCAAAAGGGTAGGAACCAGAAGCTGATTTTGAGTACAGTTTTGAAAGCACCTTTAACCTACTTTTGCCTTTTTGTTTTTTTGTTTTTTGAAATGGTAAAAATAGAGAACTGTTTCACAGTTGTTTCGAGGAAGATAGAGGTAGGAGGTAGGTTTTATACTTATTTGAGCTAAACAGCTTATAACTTTTCTAAGGCTCATAACCTACATCTTTTTTAGAAGCCACAGCTCAACCAAACACACCATTCACACTTCTTATCTGAGGAGCTAAAGGTGCTGGTGTAGCAAAGAGTGAACCCAGTGAGTTGAACTGCAAGCTGCCCCCTATCAGTGGTGAGATGCCTCCATAGGCACGGTTATCTCATCGCCACCAACATGTAGAACACCTATCAAAATAAAACAAAAGTCGCTTGCACTAGTTGCGTTGATCTATTTGTAATTGTTAAAAAAAAAGTTGCGTTGAGCTATTAGTTCTGACTCATCCATGGTAATTGGTACAGCTCATTATTGATAGCGAGCAAAACACAAAGAATCACTAAATAGGTAATTCTGCTGTAATTGGGCAGCAAGCATATATTCCAGTGAAGTGACAAATCAGCAACTGAACTAAACATGAGGCTCCCACCTGTACATGCCATTGTAATTAACATAATTCTACCACAAGACCCTACGGCCTGAAGAAATATATGAAACTATTGATTTTACAGTGTAAAGTTTCACAAAAGTTGCCTTTGCAGGCATGGTTCCACTAGATGGAGCTTCTCTTTCTCGTACGAAATAAGAAATCCTCGGTATCGATGACATACGAGACCTGCAAAATTGATATCATTCTTACGTACTCAAAAGATATTGATGGTAATCAAATACTGGTGGCCCATGTCAAAACGAAAAGTGTTAGTAGTTTTTATGAAATAAGCAAACATGACATTGTCCATGGTCTTTAGTATAACTTTGTTTCCCCAATAAAATTGTACGTACCTTTGAGGTTTTGCAAGATATCTTGCATTCAAGACCATTAGCAAACATGACATCGTCCATGGTCTTCAAAGAAGCTGGGGAGTCATCATTCCTCACTTGCTTCCGCTTATTCCTGGAATAAAGATGCCAAATCATGAGCAGCAAGGAAAATAAATTCGAGGGCTTTATTATTACGCCAAGACAGTACCTCCTAAGAAAGACATCATCAGCCAATTTGGTATCATCCATACTTGACAGATAATCATTATATAGATACGGTGAAAAGGTTGGATCAAATGAGACAGCGGTCAATTCATGTTTTCCATTCCCATACTCCATGAGCTGAATAGATAATCCTGTAGGATCAGAATGCTGCAAATTGCAACAGAAAGTGTCTGTGATTTGGTAGTTGCAAGAAGATCCAAACATGCAATGTGCAAAGAGATCTTGTCCTTCCCTCCCTCCCTCATGCGTGGTAAGATAAGAGGATTCCTCAGAGAAACATTGCATGCCGAGTAAAAATGTGCAGACATATCTATGGAAGACAAGAAATACAGATACAAAATGGAGCTTACACATTCAAAACGGTATATGTGGTCATCATGTAGAAGGGCTCGTGCATTTTCATGATAAACCAGATCAAAGAAGCTCCCAGGAGACCTGGACTTTTCATACAAATAAAGCTGGAGAAGCTGGTTGTCGATTTCATCAGATGCTACTGCTTGAAGCTGCAGAGTAGGAAAAATTAATAATGTAACTATTAAACAATAAAACAGATATGGTCTTTGACACAACTTGCCTGCTTCACAATTTTGTATATCAGTTTATCTAAAGTAAAGAGAACATATGATTGAGTCCCAATGATGGAACGGCAGTCATCTTCAAATTTGGTGTGGTCAGAAGAACCATCAAGCAAGTTGTATAGTGCACTGATAAACCTGCACTAAAATACATAAGCCATATACAGCAAGTCTTCCATGAAACCAGAGTGTTGACAATACCTTGAATATTGGTCTGGAGAATTTGTATCATTTGAAGCTTTCCAGTTATTGTCTGATGTGGAAGAGTTTGTCTTAGCTGACAATATTCTCTCATATAAGATCTGCAATCAATAAAGGTTAGCCAATGAGACCACATAGGCACAAACTTATAGACCCTGCAAGGTTACTGAAGAAAAAAGAAACTAACCTGATGTAGCCTGAACAGAACATAAAATGAGTCATTTCCATAAAATATATGAGAAAGTTTCTCTTCATGGTTTGGTAATGCCGTGGAAACATACTTGGAAAGTGGTTTAACTGTACTTTGCAAACATTCTGAAAATGGCAGTGATATTCCTCCATCCAAACCCTGTGCCTCTGTATTTACCTCTGCTCCACCGTCACTTACCTTTGTATCAAGATCCATATCATCCTCTTCTTCCTCTTGATCTTCATGAGAAAACTCCTCACCACCACCAGATTCACTGCCAGAGGCATCTTCATCAGCCTCAGATGCATTTTCACTATCCTCTGCAGACCTCTGGGCCCTCTCGTTACCTTCATTTTCTGCACCTGCATGATTCTTGCCAGAAAACTTGAGAACTTCCTTAGGTCTACCCTGGAGAGATCTGCTGGTAGAACCTCCATTTTGTTTAGAAGTTCCACATATAGCTTCATCTTTGAAAACACCAAAGTTTTCCTCTTCAGAATCGCCATTAGGAGATAATTCACCCTCTTCTCTTTCAGGCCTTAAATTGTTGTGGGACCCCGAAAATGGATGTACACCCACTCCATACAAAGATGTCATCCTCCCATGTTTTCTGCTCTGTTGGAATGATAAGGATTATTAACAAAAAAAAAATTTGGGTGTCTTCAATGTTTTTTAAGGAAATAGAAAAGATGTGGAACCCTGAATCCTATCACTTATATATCTAGTTTTCATGCTTTTTTTCTTTCTTTCTCGAAAACGCAGGAGAGCTGCGCATCATTATATTAAGAAGATAATAAAATGGGATAAGAACCCACACAACTCTACACACACACACTCCGCTGCTGCTGCAGCATGCTGCTAGGAAACTAACGCGCCCGTGACATAAGTATCACGACCAAGGTAGACAGGGCTCTAACCACCCTGAGCGAGGGCATCCAAGAGGGATAATCCTCGAGCCACATATGCTTTTTTTTTTTCTTTCACCACATATGCTTCAATTGAACAATGAAAAAGAAAGGTAGAAATAACACACTCATCGGCAGTGATCCAGTTTAGGAATGACCATACCCTCATAGACGGAATTGTTTCATTCGTACCCACAAATTCAGCCACAGACTCAGCTCCAGCACTTTTAGAGCCATTACCACCTATCAGATAAGATTAAACCACTGAGAACTGGGTAGTTAAACAACAATCAATTAAGCTATGAGACAGCGTAAGGTAGCTAAAAAGGGTGTACCCTTTGCTGTAGCATTATTTCTTTTCCCACCACATGACAAACCAACTTTTCTAGTTCGCCTCTTTGATTTTACCATATCTGCATCTTCAGCGCCATGAGCCCTAAGATGAATCCCTAACAAAGGCTCTAAAAATGTTGTCCAGATCCTCATCACTTTATTAACTTGATCTGAAGAACTGCATAGTTCTCCGCAAGAGTATTTGATTATCTGATAAAGATCTTCATGAATGTCCAAATCCACATACTCAAATGACATGTTGGGAACTAGTGGCCACCTATTCCCAGCAGTAATAGCAAGTAGCACATCATCCCCCGTCCTATTCTTCTCACTGATTTCTTTAATCTGAGACAATAGAGCTGTGCAAGGTTCATGAGTTCAAAAACAGTAGGCCAGTACATACCAAGGAAGGATAGTACACAATGAAGAACATGTGCATACCTTTTGTGTTCAGATTCTTCTTGTCTTGTTGTTTGAAATAGAAACTGTGATGGTCAAGAGACTTGTGATAATTTTTTGAATATACTTCAGCCCAAACTTTATTAAAATCTGACTGGCACCTTGACCATTCCTCCTGCTTTTGTTTAAGCCTGGTTAAAATAACTGGTAATGTCACACCAATATTTTTTTGAAGAACATCCACAACATCAAGTCCATGGTCACCATATAGCCGCTCAATGCACCTCATATTCAAAGCTATCAAGAGAAAAAAAGAGTTCAACGATATGCATGCTGTTTGACAAAAGGACAGGAGACAACCACCATACATATAAAGAGGCATGTTCAATTGCACATATGTGGATGCTTACTAGTCAAATGTTCATCGAGGTGGATAGAGCTGTCTGGTTTGAGTGAGTTGCCTTCCATCCTTTCCACCAACTTCTCAATACGCTTAATTGCCACAGTAACAGATTCCAACAGCATGTCCAGCTCAAACCTGAAATCATCCACTTCACAAGTTTTGACTATGATCTTGAGACATGCTGACCATCTACTACCAAAAAAATACCATAAACTAGATGTTACTCTGCTATGATGAATGACAGATCGCAGTAGAACAAGACACAAAGGGTCATCATGTAGCGTGCCACCTTATGTGTCAAATTTAAGTTACACTACTGAGTAACAGACTGAAGTTCCCAGTGAGCCTCGGCAGTTTCAAGTAACATATCCCTGAGGAAAAACTTAATCATCTACTGATTGTGGACCAAAATCAGATACCAATAAAATACTGGATTTCCTAAATGTAATGATATACCCCCATGGTCGAGTTTTTATCTAACATAACAACAAAACACTTGCTTTGAATGAACATCAGTCATCATAACAAAAATCCTGGTTAGTAAGGTTTCTCTTATAAAAATAAAATGTCTTACAAACACGGTGATTGTGAACCAATTGACTAAGTGCTGCAATGTAGCAACAATTAGGCAATAGTCAAACAGAGAACAAAAACTCCATACCTGTCATCTTCACATCTAAACAAGCTTTCTTCATACTGATTTTTGCGCATATGCTTAAACGAATAATCTTCACTTCCTGAGGTCACTGATACCCAGAGATCATTCAGCACTGAAGCTTCAGTGTCAGTCCTGTTGCTTGCAGAAGGCACTTGATACTGAAAAGGACAAGTAAAAATATGTGATGACATGGAAGACATTATTATTATAAAATAAAGAGTTAGATCAGCTCACATTTTCAGGCAAAAGTCGGTAACTTGGAGTGCACCGCTGACAATTTGACAGATCAAGCTCTGATATTGGTTTGCATAAGTCATACTTTTCTTTGCTAGGGAATGCAGCAACTTCATGAGTTGCTCCTTCCTTAGAATTGAACGCCAATACTTTTTCAGATTTTTCCCTTTCCTTATATCTCTCTTTCTCAGGATCGCTATCCCCCTCGTGCTCCTTATATCTCTCTTTTTCCACAGGTTTAACCATCCGTGATGTTTGCCCTTCATTCCAAAAGACTAACACAAACATAAACGAGGCGCCTAAAAAAGTAAAACAAATGAAACTATGAGCTTCACAGCTAGCTTCCCTTACTTTTATTGAAGGTTCCTTCCAGAAAGCCATCTGCAGAGTATAAGGAGTAATTATTCATAGAAAAACAGAATATATTCAAAGGTTATTAAATCATGGAGGTGCATCCAATAAATTGGCATTCAAAACAAATGATCCACCTATATTTTCACAGTGTCCCAAGAAGTCATTGAATCCATTCACAAGATCCGGGTAGTGCTGAAGTATGTCTTTTACCTGAAAAACAAAAAAAACATTTTAGAAAATTCAAAAAGGATTTACCTACCCTGGTTGTCATGTAGCAAGTCACATAGATCATTAACTACAAACTAGTTCAGCCTCTGGAAAATAACATCATATTGACTTACCAATCTTTTCAGTTCACTTCTTGTAATAATTTCTTGGCTGTATATGTGAAGGCATTTCAAGAACTCTTGGTAAGCTTCAGGCTCTAGCTGTGCCTTTAGTTTCTCACAGAATTGAAACTCTTGTGTGTGTGAACCTGAATTAACATAGCAAGAGATGAATCACGAATCTAATACATCAAATAGGGAGAAAAATAAAAGAAATATAAGGCATACATAGAGGAACAAAAGCACATGATGGATTCCAGAGTTCACACAAACCAGGGGGTTCAATGCAATGAAGAACTCATATTACATGTATGCATGGATAAATCAACATTAGCACAATTCAATATGGGGATGGCAAGAGACTTGCTTTTCAGTACATACTTACAATTGAATGAGAAAGGAGACATGGTAGCACCACCTAGTGTATCATCACCAGTACCCTCCATCTTTCTTTGAGATTTGTGACCACATCGCTCTGCATCCAAATCTTCGTTTTTATATTCGTTATTCTTCTCATTCCTTTTATAACCTCTTCTATGCTGACTGCGACAAGCATTACGAATTTTTTCCTTCTCAATACACCTTTTTTTAATACCATGCTCAAGATCAAGGCGATCAACACTGGAGTCCCAATCAGCAGTTGATGGAAAAGCTCTCTCACTCTGGAGGTATAAAGAAGAACATAGCATCTTGAAGTTTAAAGGGGTAAATAATGCAGGAACAAGGACCTAATTACCAAATTATTACATGCTCTTGCATGTTTTAGTTGTGCGCATACAACCCACAAGTAACATGGATAACTTATCGTCAGCTTATACTTATCCTAAAACTCATATAGAAAAATATGTTTACAGTATTATCATTGAGTTCATTAAACAGTGCAGGACAGTTAGTAAAACTGATACTAAGGGGAAATTTTCTATTCTTCCTAACAAAACACTTTAGCCATGGGGAAAAACTACTGGCTAACAGTGCATTTCATCCTAACAAATATTTGATTTGAAGAAGTCAAAGTATGTAATGTTTGACCAACAATTTGCCAACCTATGTACCAGTTTAGTGTACAAAAAAAAGTGGCATCAATAGATTCACATTCAAAGGAAATTTAAGATTATCTTGATGTTATCGCAATTTGGGAAATTGTGGAGACTGTCCTAAAAACTAAAAAGTATATGGCCTACATTGATGGAGGGGGAGTATAAAATATAGCAATTGAAGAAGCATTTGGAATTGAACACGGGTGATTGATTCTATAATTTGTTGATTCACCTGTTGAACGGTCTGAGCTCTTGTAGCAGAATGCATAACAGCATTCTTGTCATCATGCCTGGCTTTAGAGGTAGTGGCTGCCTGCAGAGGAGGCGTGGGCGTATCAGGCAAGAAATGAATGAACTCCTCGAGTAAATCAGGATGGCCATGGAACAGCACGGAGACCTGCGGATAGGAGAGAATAGGTCATTCGAATCAAATCAAAGAAGAAGAGAATTAGGTATATTGGCAATGGGCGCATGCACAAGGACGTGTGGAGAGAAGGCATGGTACTGGTACCTCGTCGTAAACATCTTGGATGGGCTTGTTATGCATGCGGTACATATTGAGGATCCCCAGGAATGACTTGTAGACATGTTCCTCCTGCTGGAATCGGCTCTGAGGATCCGCACAGAGAGATGAGTAAGGTAATGAGAAGGAAAGATGCATGATTGAGGCCATAGGGAGGGAGGGAGAGAGCCGACCGACCTTAATCCTGTTGACAAGGCTGATGGCCCTGGGATAATCGACGGGCTCCTTGTCCTTGTGGAGGAGGAGGTCCTGACGCCTGATGGACTGTCCCTTGGGCAGGAAGGCGTTGAAGCCCAGGATTAGGTCCGGGTAGCCGTGGAAGAGGGTCTTGACACGGGCGATGACGCCGGCGCTGTCGAGCCTGTTGCTCTTGAAATCACGCATGACCTGGATGAACTGCTCGTACGTGTGGGGCTTTTCCTGGAACTTGTCCTTGACGGCCTTGAGGTAGACGAGGGCGTCTCTGGTGGTGATGCTCCCGCTCCCGCTCCCGTTCCCGTTCCCCTGCGGCGGCGGGGGCGGGGGCGGCGGTGGGGGACGAGCCATGTGGAAGGAAGCTGAGGGGGGCCGCCCAAGGAAGAATGGAGGATCCGATTGGATCGGGATCGGATCGCCAAGGCAAGGGGCCCTGCTGTTCCTAATCCTTGATCGCCTTCATCCACCGGCGCGGCGGCACAGGCGTCTCGCTCGCAGCCAACGAAGCGACGCCCAGAGGTGGGGAGATACGATGGATCTATCTAACAAATGAGGTGGGGGAATCGAATCCCTCCGGTCTTGTCACGCGTCGGCGGCCGTCGAGTCTCTTCTTCTCTCAGACCACCACACGGGGAGACGGAGATGGAGGAGACGATGATGGATCACGCACGAATTCACTCACGCGCGCCTCCTGAGGACTGGGGAGGGAGAAGTAGAAGCCGGCGGCAGCAAACAACGAAAACCGCAGGCTAGCGCCCTGTTAGTATGGGTTCGATGGCCTAAGAAGCCAGGGCCGAAAGAACCGTGGCTGATTCGCTCTGAAAAAAAAAATACTATTTATTAGTGAAAAAATATGATTTATAAGTTAAATAAGCCTAAATGAATATGACGTAGCAGGCCGGAATTTTTTATTTTTAATATTTTTTTAACTAATTTTAAATCTAACATTGTTTTATTTTTTTTCTCCAAAACTAACATTTTTTCATGTAGCGTGGAGAAACGTCTGTACCACACCATGCATGGTGGCACGGCGAGGGGGTGACGTGGCGACCACCGAGACGCTGACCGGTGACGTAGCAGGTTATGTCGGCCATAGCCCACGGCGCGACACTGACGTGCCAAGGCCCACAGCGCAACAGAACCTGGACGCAGACACAAGCCGACCAGCCTCAATTGCAATTGAACGGGAGATGCTATCGGTGCTGTAAACAACTACAAGTGTTGTTGTGACGCATTGAAACGAATATGAAGCAAATAAATATAGTCCATGCACAAGTTGATAAGTTGCCACATAACATTTTCATTGGTTTGACATAAGTTTGACATAAGTTCGACATAACCAACTAAGTTTACAAGTTTCGGACGACAATATTCGTTCGACATAACCAACTAAGTCATAGGAGTGTAAGGATCCCTCGGATACCTCTGTCTTTTTGGATTTTTAGGCAACACATTCGGAGTGTAGCCAATGTCGATGTGGTCACGTTGCCGGTGCGTACGGCTCGTACCCTGCAAGTATATGATAAGTACGATTACTTATAATCTTTATGATCGTTAATTCATGGAACCTACGTATTTAAAGAAACTACCTTTGTTACTATCTATGAGGCTCTTTGGGTACCAAGCGGGGCATCACCTAGCTGAGACATGTCGATCTCGTCCTACTGCCAAGGGTCCCACTGGTGGTGCTGTATGCGGAAGCCCGAGGGGTCGTCGTCGTCGTCATCGTCGTCCTCATCTGCAGGATCCTTCCCAGCGCTATAATGTGGTGGTGTACGCACAGCGAAAGCGGCACCTGTCACCGGCTGAGAAGAGCCGGTTGGTGTCCTCAAAGAGCCAGAAGACGTGGCACCCGACCGCGCTGGGTAATTGAATTCCACCCGAGGAGTGTCCATGTAACTCAACTTCTGAGCTAGATTCCTGCAGCTCCGCTTCACCTTCTGTATGAATAGACGTTAAAGTTAAGGCATATGCACTAAAGAAATATTTTCGAAACGGACAAGTTTATATTTACCTCCATAAAAGCCTCGAGAACGCCTGGCCCCTACCCTCTAGACTCGTGAAGCCAAAACGCTGCTTCGTTTGACAGCCTTGACAATTGTGTCGCTTGGGTACAGAAACGCGGTCGGATATTTTTAGTACACATACTTAATATCAAATGAATAATAAATTATACCATTCGAGTATCTTACCACGTATCTTTGAAGCGGGGCTCTTTGTAATTGTGTGTCGTCCCTAGTGGCAACGTCGTACACATCTTCGATCATATCTTCCTCGTCAATCGCCTCCTCAGTGTACAGGGGCTTAATATGTGTCCTAGTAGACCTGTGAAGCCACCGTAGGTACTCGTCGAAGGTGTTCTGGTCATATGGGGGACCCGCATCGACCGCATGTCGGTCCTTGGTCTGCCACAACTGGATGTACGTGTTGTGTGTCACGCGCTAATCCTTGGTCTTGTACCTCTTTCTGTGGTCATACCTGCAACAAAACGATTGTTAGTTGTACCATATACACTTCTGAATTGTAGCTTTGTTATTAATCGATAATGCACCCGCGCAATTCTTGATTGGTGGAGTAAAGCGGTGGTGGGTAGCCTGGCATTCTTCCAAACTGCCTGCAAACCCTGATGGCCAAGTAAATCTCGACCACGTGGAAGAAAATAAGAGGGACGTTGCAGCGATACTCGTCTGACTCATCCCTAGTGACTGGACTCAGATTGTCCTAGAGCTCCCAGAGCATCCCAAGGACACCAATGCACCTGAACATTTCGTAATTGAGTTAGGTTATGATATAGTGTACATCGAATAAGACATATGTATGACAGTAAAGAGAGCGTAACCTAGTACTGTGTCAGGACGTCGAGACAGTCCGTGTACTCCATGTACTTACGCCTCGCATTCCCTCTAACTAACTCTGCTTGCGTCTAGATATACCGAGTTGTAGGCAGTGTATCCTGCCCGTTCCAATGCTGCATTGAACACGATAATAAATTAGCCATTAATAATTTCATCATATGTAACTGCCTCAAAGAATATAGTGAACCGAAGTACTTACAGGGAAACTAGTAACAAGGGGACTCTCAACGGGCCATCGTTCCCAACACCAAACCTGGAGTAGGTAGGAACAACCCCCAAGGTTCGCATACCCTGAGGTGCGACGGCAGGCAACGCATGGCTGTCGATACGTCCATGCCAGGACTGCGCTGTTCCAGCTATACACCGCTATGTTATTCCACGGCTGGCGTAGTATGTCAAGAAAGATTCAGTTGATAGTGTTACCCGAGGCGTCTGGGAATAGAAAAAGCATCAAGGAAGTGCTAGAGCCACACTCTAGCGACCTTGTCGATCTGAGCCTCATTAGCCTGTGGGTCCAAGTAATCAAAGCGCTTTGTGATCCACGACGATAAAACACCAGAACTTTTCCTGAAATTCACCAAAGAAAATGAGACCCAATAGCTGCAGGAAAGCAATGCAAGTATTAAATAGCCTTGAATTGCTCACTTATTTTTCTTGAAAACCTCATCGTCCGGTGGAAGAAAGCCAGTGAACCGAGCCACCAGCTTCCTCCAGTAATCGTTGTCAACTATACCTGTCACTGGAAGTCCCCCCAACCGAAGGCCAAAGATAGCCTTCATGTCTTGTATGGTCAAGGTCATCTCGCCGTAAGGTAGGTGAAACGTGTGGGTCTCAGGCCTCCACCTATTATAAGAATAGAACGACTATTAGTTACCTCAAATTTGTTATAAGAATGTTTATGTATAATGAAGGCACTCGCACCTGTCTACAGCTGCAGTAAGTAGTGTTGGGTCAAGAGGAGGAAGACCGTAGTTGACAACACGGACAAGCTCGAGGAAGCCGGCACGTCGTATGTACGGCGCGTAACGCTCGTCCCACTGGTGCGCCTTGGTGTACGTGCGGGGCCTCAAAGGAGGCAAGAGCACCTCTATGTCGGTGTCAGTCAAGAAGTGTGCTCGGTGTGGGTCGTCATACTCCACCTCAAGAAGGGGGTACAACTGGTGCTGCGTGGGAGGGGCCATCCTATTACAAATTGATAAATAAAGGGTTAGAGTATTCAAGTTAACAATATTCAAATTAACATTATGTAGCATTACAAAATTTGAACTACTTGTTATGCAATAGGAACACAATATGAAAGCACATGTATATATTTAAAGTAGCATTAACAGACATATTAAACAACTTCACTAAGAAAATAAGCAACTTTTATGTATGGATCTGTTGCCCTCGTCTTCTATGCAGGCGGGCATCCGTGGTGCGGCGAGCAGCCACCGTGCGTGGCCGAAGGGCGCGGCGGGCGCAGCGGGCGGCCGACGTTCGTGGCGCAGCCGGCGCGTATGGGCGCAGCGGGCGCCAAAGAATAGGGCGGCGACATGGCTTCTTAATGCCCTAGCGGTGCTATGCTCTCTTTGGGGCGGAGACCACGGGCGCACATTGCAGGGCGGCGGCGTGGCTCCCTTTTGTGGCCGCCAGCGAACTCGTAAAGGAGCCCGACGGTGCCATCTTAGTTCTTAAGGTAAGTGAAAAGCGTCTTACTGATCTTAGGGTTGGGGATTGTTACCAGATTTGAGTAATTTGCATTCCTAGGGTTCGGATTTGGGTAAAAACTGGGGCTTAGTGGTGAAGTTGATTCGACTCCCCTCCCTCTCGGTGCTTAAGTGAAACCCTATATTCTGATTTGGCTTAAAGAACTTTGAATCGGACAAATCCGAGGCTATTTAGATCTTAACCAAACACTAATTGGGTCTTAGGGTTCAAGAATTAGGCTAAGCGGCTTCTCGGATACCAATTGTTAGAACTTATACTTAAACAAGATCTTAATTAACTTAATTATAGGAACACCTAAACCGAAATTAGCACTTAATTATGACTTTAATCAATCTTAATCGCTTAAAGATGCACCTAGGGCCACGATGACCTTCGCCTGCTGGATGCAGGCACATTATCGTCGGATGTAGAGTCACGGTATGGTTCTGGGCGTCGTCGTGGTGGTGGCGTGTGGGCGCGGCGGACGCAGCGGGCGACCGACGGCCGTGGCGCACCGGCGTCCGTAAGGCTTGCCGGCGATGATGGGCGCTGGAATGGGAGGGGAGTGGCGCGACATGCGGTAGGCGCAGGCGGCGGCAATGGCAAAAAGCGAGCAGAGGAGGGCGGCTCATGGCGATCTTTACAGGGCGCCGCCGTGAGGGATGGCGCGGCACTACCGCGCCAAGATCGGTGGCGCGACAGACCCTGCCACGTCACCGGTCAGCGCCCCGGTCGTCGCCACGTCATCCCTCTCGCCGCGTCACCATGCATGACGCGGCACAGGCGTTTCACCGCGCCAGGGAAATA